GTGTCTCTGCTCGGGTGATGGCATGGCCCTAGCCTGCGGCGTCGTGGTCGTCGGTGCTCCTGGCCATGCGATTACGAAGCTCGCCGGACGTGTGTGGCCATGGCATGCGGGCTCTAGGCTGACCTCGCCTAGGCTCTCGACTGTAGTACGAGGTCGAATGGGGGAGATGTAGCTTCCCGGCCTGACGGCGGTGGCCTTACTCCCTAAACTAAATCCTTAACCTAACCATGACTTCAAGACTGATGAGCTTAGACCGTGTCCGATGGAAGCTGCCTACCAGGCGTACGCTTCGATATAGCTCGAACCCAGCTTGAGCCCAGCGGTACCCTCGATAGCTACCCTGGGCGGACATAGACCCTATGAGCCTTGCTTAGCCTTGCCCAATTTGTGCCTGGCCCTGATTAGCTCTAAAACGCTCAAATGTAATGCATGAGAAATGCACATCATTCACAGCGAATTAAGTGTGGAGCGTTGTAGTAGCCTGCGGGAGCGTCAGATGGCCATGCGCATCGCGCTAGCTGGGCGGTGCGCTGTGCGTCGGCATGCGATGCAAAGCAGACACACCGGGACAACGGCGTGCGTGGATTGGTGATGGTCATGGCATAATTAGGAATGGAAGCCTGGGCGAAGTGGGTGGCGTGGATGGATGGAAGCTGCCGGATGGCGTGCGTCGTAAGGATGGTAGCTCCGGAGTCGGCTGGGTGGCATGGCATGGGAGCTGCCTGAGGAGTGGGTGGATCCGTGGAATGGATAGAAAGCCTGCGGCGAGTGCTGTGGATGGATGCCGTAGCCTGTCCGGGAGGTGTGGAATGGATGGTAGCTGGCCGGGCACGTGCGCGTGGGTGGATGGCCCATGGCAAGCTGCGGGAGTGCGCGGTGGCGGCTGCGCATGGTGCTCGTCGCGCGAGTGCCCGCCGTGGTGATGGCCATGGGAGCTGGGGAGTGGGTCCGGCTCTTCGTCGGCATGTAGCTGGGTTTGAGCTGTGTGATGGATGCGTAGCTGGCGGCCAGTGGGTGAGCCGTGGATGGAATGGGAAGCTGCCGGCGACGTGGCTGCGGTGGATGCGTACTCGCGGGATGCTCGGCGCTGGCCGCGGTGGCGCCCGATTGGTAGCTGGGGAGTGTGGTGGGGTGGATGCTAGCTGGGCGACGTTGTGTGGGCTGGCCATGGATGGCAGCTGGCCCGGGCGATGGAGTGGCTGGATGGTAGCTGGGACGTGGCGCTGGTGATGAGATGAGTAGCCTCGGTCCGGCAGTGTCGTCGGGATGAGCATGCGTAGCACTGGCGCGAGTGCGGTGGCGTGGCATGGATGGAAGCCTGGCGGCGTGGCGTGAGGTGCCGACCCCATGGATCGCAAGCTGCCGGCCGGTGGCCTGTGGGGGCATGGAGCCCAAACAGCCCGGAACGGCGCCCGCCATGTTGGTATTGGCTGCT